ATTAGCTAGTAAACTAGTAAAACTACACATTCTGAACAATTATAGTTTTAAGCAGTGTATTAGTAGTCAGTATGCTACACTCTAAGAAAATAAATCACAGGTTTTTACCTGCATTTTAAATTACGCATTGTATTTTGTGTTTCGGGTTACAACGGATGATGGATAACGGATAATGTCCTGGAAAATTACTAGTACCTTTTCCATTTTTCTAGATATTTTTCTTACAGTGTACTAACTGATCAACAATCACAGGTACAAGCTACTAACGAGGTGTATCATAAATGAACAATTATTGAATTATTATTATTATTATCAAATTTAAAAATTGCAAATAGCAGTAACTTAATTCACGTGATGTGTGTACTGCTAGGCATCTTTGGTTTCCTCTTTTTGTGAAATTTAGATGGAAAATGTGTGCCTTTTTATTGTTTGAGATACTTATCAAAAGTTGCTAAAAGTAGCCAAATAAAATTTAAAAATAGCTAAATTTGTTGCTAGGTGCTTTTGGAAGAAAAAGTTGCTAGGGTAGTCTGAAAAGTTGCTAAATTTAGCAACAAAATTGCTAAGTTGGCAACACTGGGCACTGCAAAGCAGCACTGACGTGCTTTCGTCATCATACGTAACCTTAACCCGTGCAGCGATTGGTGGGAACAAACTCTAAGACATTATGAAGTCAGGACTAGTCTGGCTGGGCGATATGTAATAATAACAAGTTGCAAAAGCCAAGAAAATTAAGAAGAAGAAGGACTAGTCTGTATGGGCTGAATAAAGCAAACCAGTGGAGTTTAGATAGATGACGATTGTAATGGAGGTGATTACAGTGACATGCAGGAGTCCTACATTATTAGACATGCGCAAGTCCGTTATTATTAATGTGCAAATAAACAGACCGTGTCTGTGCGCTCCCTGATAGCTTTTTGCACAAGCATTTCAGTGTGGTCGCATGTCTGGCAAGTGTTTTATAATGGACACCCGCTGAAGAAGCCTGTTTTTATAGGAGTTTGCAATGGTCAGTGGTGTTTATACATATGGGCAAAAAACACTCACTCTGACAGAGGAACTGTTCACTGTTGATCAAGGTGAACACTGATCACCACATTCGACAAATTCAGAATGTTTTTATTTACTTTTTATATTTGTGTTTTGCTCCGTTTAATATTTCGGAATGGATAGGTATATTTATATACAGTCAGGTTAAGGCGACTGGTATAGTGGTCTGTTGGCGTCTCCGTGTGGTCGTGTTTGGTATTGCAGCTTGACTTGTAGTTATTTCTATAATGCACAGTGTATACAATGCTCTTTAAACAAATGTAAAAAAAAAATTCCTCACAGTTTTTGCTGTTGCACTGTATACGTAAATTGTGAATAATGAAAATAAAAATAAAAAAATGATCTTGAAAAAGCTTGCAAAAAATAGTTTTGTGGGAATCATCCTCAATCTTTACCTTGGTAAAACAATTATCTTTATTTCAAATGTTTTAAGTCTTACTACTTCTTATGCATTCTTATGCATTCACCAGGGGCGGATCTACCGGGGTGGCAGCTGCCACCCTAAGAAAAAGCTGTGCCACCCCAGAATTATCACAGAATAAAATATAAATGTAAGCAGTGTTTCATGTGCTACTTTTCAGCTGCGGCGATGACAGAGTACGCAAAATAATGGCAAAAAACGTCTTTCAATAAACTGTGCACGATGGTTGCACGCGCACGCAGCGTGCCAGTGTAGTAGTCGGCTTCATTAACAAATGACTTATGAACCGGAGTCAAAACTACAAAGCGAGCCCAGTTCACTGCTAACGAATTGTTTATACATTTGTTCGTGAATCAGATAATTACTGCTTTTCAGGTAACTCAGAAGTCCTCTGAAAAATCTAATCCCGTCCGGATATGTCTGAGATGCATCGCGTAATTGTTTGGTGATCCGATTCTCCGACCGCTCGCTCCACTTTCATCACGGATATAAGCTGCCGTAACAATAACATGAAATCACGGAAACTAGTAGCAGAGTTAGGTAAGAATCTAGTCGTATTGCAGTTTTCTCGATTGTTAACGTATAATTGATTTTAGTCGGCACCTTTTTTCCAAACAATTCCGTTTTCAAAACAAAGACACATTTCTCAAAAAGTTTAACAATGAGTAAGTTAAACATTAGGTAGCAAAACTGATGACACACCAATCAGAATCTCTGCATCCTAACAATGGAGAGAGGAGAGAGCTGAGCCAATCATCTACAGGGGTTTTATCACACATACAGTATAATTACAGTACAGTACTAGTACATTAGAGAATGGAAATTTCAGTATTCTATACAGTAAACTGTAGCACATGTTGTACACCTTCAAGCATGTGACTGTCAAATTTTATTTGTAACAATTTTTTATGTGTACTGCATTTTTGCAGAACTGAGAAATGACTGCCTAGAGATATAGCTAGTCTTGTGTCAGGAGACCAAGAAACTGCTATAGTACTGTATACTGTAATGAAATTTGGCAGAATGTGCAGAGGATGCTAAATTTACTTTTTTTTTTATTTTATTTGTTACTGTACTGTATTGTGGTGCATACCAAGTTCATACAATTCTTTGGTATTTGAACTTTTCTATTGCTTTTCATTTACTGCAAGATTACTTTACAGTAGTAAAATGAAAACTATTTTTTCCCAAACGTTCATTGCTGAATTATAAATCTGTATCTGTAATTTAATTTATGTATACTGTAATAGACATTGAGCTGCAAAAATAATTCCTGAATCCTAGTAAGAGTTTTTTGTTACCGTTACGGTGCTGACAAAACGTGAGACGTGCGGATCCATGTGCAAGCTTTTATTAAGGGCGTGGTCAAAACAGGCGAGAGTCAGGCAATGGCAAACAGGTATATAGAAGACTAAACAAGAGCAGTCCAGTAAACAAGCGAGGGTCAGTCGACAGCGAACGTAATCCAACAGGGGTGAGACTAGAGGGATAATCCAGGTACAAGGCAAAGATCAGAACACGAGAAAACAGACAAGGCAAGACTAAGATATGGCTAGGAAAACTAAACAGGCTCCGTAAAGTAGCTATCAGCTATAGCAGTGATACACACTAAACAATACTAAACAAGAATCAGTTTGAGACTGATTCTTATAGTGGGTGTAATTGGTAGCAGCTGTGTGTGATAAGTTTCAGGTGAGCTTGTGATTAGTGCAATGGAGCATGGGAAATGTAGTCCAGGGTGATGTGTAATAGTCTGTGTGGTGTGAGAGTCAATATAATGGGAGGGCGACCTCTGGTGGCAAGTGGATGGAAGTTCATGGACAGGATTCGTGACAGTTACAGTGTTATTGATCTCAGTGTTCACTGGGCAGGAAAGTCATCTGTGTATTTGAATTGTGTGTAAGCATTTACAGTCTTTTTCAACTGCTTACACACAAAATCTTTACTTGTCACACAATTTCTGAAACCTGACACTCAAACACAGAAGCACACACCAAATCTGCAAAACCATACACTAATTCTCGGCCTTTGACTCAGTTTTCAATTTCATAAAACACTTTTTGCAAAACACAACACACTATGTAACACACAAAAATCTAACAGGAATTAATATTATGGCAAAGGTGTTTGCAAATGTTTGCTTTTGAGATGTGTTTGTGATAT